TTATTTGAGTGCTTGCTTTTGTTTAAAATGCGACATTCTCATAGACTGTTTGTACAGTTCAACGCAGTTTTTAAACGCACTCAGTTCTTTGCACAAATTATGACCACATTATTCTCGAAATAAAACTTAGGATAATTGAACTTCAACACGAGATGTAACCCTAATGTATATTAAATATCTAATGTCAAAGGCATATATTCTTAAAAATCATCATCGTAAGTTTTCAAAGTCAATGTTTTAAAGGGAACTTTATTAAATGGGTATGTTACATCTGTATGATTCTACTATAGGTATTTACAAAATTAATCAATCGAGCTTTCCTTGATATCATTCAGTTGAAAGTTTTAAACCAACTTTTTAGATGATTATTTTTCTGTAGGAACTTTGCTCATTTTCCATACTCGTCTTGGTTTTGTCGGAATTTTCGCCAAAAAATGACAATGCTGCATGAAGAAACATTCCAAAAAGTTCGATAAAGTACTGTTTGCCTTTACAAATAATAAACTGTTACAATGGGAAAGAAAAGCATTTTACATTTAAGGTCTGAAACTTTAAAAAATACGCAGTTTGACGTATCTTTCATGATGCTAGATTTCAGAGAGTAATCATGAATGAATACACGCTTTTTAACATGGAAAGCTGTCTAACAGCTGAGAAAAAGTGTTATCATCTTGTGCTTTAGAGTCATGTTAATGCATAGAAAATACAGAACTGTTGAATTTCACGAGAAACCATGAAAAACCAATTGGAAACTGTCATAATCTATCATCCAAGAAAATATCATATTCCTACGAATTATAGTGTGCGATTTATGTTTTAATTATTATTGATTTAAATCAAAATTTAGTTATAAATAACTTTTTAGTATGTTTTGTTGCCTCGTTACACATTTCTGCATAATAACAATGTGACGTTAATTTGTGCGAAAAACCATGTGAGTTTAAAAAGTGCGTTAAGTTGTATTTATCAGATAGTTCTTGTTCATTCTGTTTTTGTTTTAATATTCCGTTGATAGGAATTTACATTTAACCAGTACTCTTAAAAGCTGCTTACATTTGTGGCTTAATTAAGGAAAAAGTGTCTAATCAGCTCACCTCAACGAAGTTGGGGGAGCTTATGTAATATCCTCGGCGTCCGCGTCGGCATCGGTGTCGGGGTCCCGGGTTAAGGTTTTTGGAGCAGTTTTCGTTTTAAATACTTCTATGTCTTATATTGATTAGACATGCATGGAAGATGTTTCTAGTGTGTTTCTTTGTACCAGTCAAAGTTTCAGATGTAGCAATTTTAGCAAAGGTATGACCAGGTTAATGTTTTTGGAGCAGGTTAACATTTTGATGCAGTCATTGGTGTAGGTCTCATTTCTCTAATGCACAGAATTATTTCTTTCCCTTCACTTCTTATATTCTTAAGGAGTCCATTTTGAACTTGATATCTGAACTTGTCTGCACCAGTTTAACCTATTCAAATCGATTTTTCGTCATCTTGTAGTTTTTTAAAATCTTATAATCGTCATCATTTGGATAATTGTTTAGATTCTAACTGCATTGGGTTAGTGAATTTTATACATTCCACAAAATGTTTAACTGACACATATTGTATTGGTGGCCTATTGTTTGTTGCCACCTTATTTTTCAGCTTAAATGTTTGATATATTTGTGTTTTTTGAGTATTGTCATGATGTTATTTTAAGTTTTGGGAGATCCATAACAAGGTGTAGATACAAATTGTAGAAGGTCATAGGATCTCCCAAATTTCATGTGTTTTATTTGTGTCATTAATAAATGACATATTTACATTCTTGGTTTTCATTCAATCTGAAAAATAACAGAGCTGCGGGAAACTTGGTTTTAAATTTGCACTATTATCATATGGAAGGCATAATGTAATATTATTGATAATAATATGTTTTATGCATACATATGTAATTTTCCATTTCTGTGGTTAGAATGTAGTGATTGTAGTATATTTTTTGTATATCTCAGGTTTCAGAGATAGGACGTTAGGTAATGCATAGTCTCAGGTTTTGGGGCTTTGCGTTGATTAGTCGTTAGCTAACGTCAGAGATATCACGTGATTGTTATCGCTGGTGGATGCTGCAAGTGTTTGTACACACCATTTTTTGTAAGAAAAACATACCCTCCGCCACCCCGTACAACCGTCCCTTAGGTTAAACTTTACTTTGGGATGTATTTTGATAATTTCTTTTGTTTCGTGGCCTATTCTATGTTGCCACCATATTTTTCAGCTTTAATGTTTGATATATTTGTGTTTTTTGAGTATTGTCATGATGTTATTTTAAGTTTTGGGAGATCCATAACAAGGTGTAGATACAAATTGTAGAGAGTCATAGGATCTCCCAAATTTCATGTGTTTCATTTGTGTCATTGATAAATGACATATTTACATTGGTTTTCATTCAATCTGAAAAATAACAGAGCTGCGGGAAACTTGGTTTTAAATTTGCACTATTATCATATGGAAGGCATAAAAGGAATTCTTGTAGATAGCTAGACGTTCATATATATCATCACATCTTTTACTGGCTATTTAGAATTTCACACAATGTCTATAATTCTAATTATCGATTGTTTCTCTATATATATATTATTAAAATTTAATTTATACCAGTTTACAGATATACTTTCATTGTTTTTTATAGAATCGTAAATTACTAATTTTAAATAATCGGGAGAATTTCTCATCACGTACACAATGTAATACGAGTTACCAAGAATGCTAGTAAACAATATTCAAATGAATTTTTCTTTATTGATCCCTTGTTGTTTCATGTCCCTTTAGGAAATTTTACTCTCATATATGAGTTGTGAACATGTTCAGACATATACTAAGCAATTTAGCAATTAAGGATTTTTAGTCGCTAGTACAAATTGTTAGACGTTAGACTTTTTTCTCAGGATTAATGAAAAACATGTACATCTGTATATGGAAATAAACAGTTTTAAAGCTCAAAAGTCCATAAAACAATACAAAATAGGAGCAGATCTAACAAGGACTTCCAAAACATCAGAGGTGGGATCAGGTGCCATGGAAAAGTGAGTGTTCCCTGCCGACCGGTCACACCCGCCATGTGCCCCTTGTCATGATCAGAAAATATCGGAAAAATACATCATCTTTTCAGTGTGTAAATAATTGACTAACAATTAGTATGAAAAATCGTCAGTCTGCATTTGACCCAATTATAAATTGTGTTTGCTGACAAGGTCATTGCATCGACCACAGAACCTACGAAATGATGACTTTAAACGAGATTGCTGCATTTTTGTTTCATTAACTTTGTTGTCAATAATTTACCTCGTTTTACAAATTGAACATACGTAGAGTATGTTTTTGCATAGCAAATCAACTGAGAGATATAAACAACGTATGCAGGTGATGAAAGTATATTGCTGCATAAGTAAGGGATGTTGTCGATTGAAAGCTTAAAGTCTTACGGTTAAAAGCTTATATTGATAAACAATCCGGACCTTCTGGATTAGTCACAAGAGGGGATAGGCTTTACTGAAATCTAAACGAAAAGAAAAATCAGTTCATTGCAAAATAGGTAAAATTAAGCATAAACGTATATCTAAATCGTGTCAAGTCACTGTCTAGAGAAAATATTAAGCTCTTTTCTACTGGATACAATTATGGTAGAGGATTGTATATTTTGACCGAGGTGTGTGATGATGGCCAAAACGTTATATATAATTGATCATTTCGTTAAAAAGAAAATGGATATCGGTATCATGAAATGTTTATAAAGCTATAATTGCATCAACGAATTCTAACACGATTAAAATTTAATATCTCTACTGAGTGAGAATTTAATTGATAAACAATTGACTACAATACCAAATCCAATAATTTTTTTTTTTAAAAATGCACGATTGTCAACTTTTTCCAAAGCCAATATTCTTTGGACCACCTGTTATCTGATCTTTAAGAGCTCTGTGTTCACTGATGCCATGTAAAATTTTGATCTCACGTGCATGACAAAAAAAACCCCAAACAAACAAGGTGACAAGCTAAACACAAGACATCTTCCGTTCTACTAGTTAGAAAATCAATATGTTGCATATGCTTCATTGTAGTTCTGCAACTTGACAATCGCTAAGAAAGTGGACAATTTTGACACTTAAAGAGAAATTTTGAGCACAAATCTGAAATTGTAGACGCCATGGCGACTAAAAAGTAGCCAATCAGAGCCTATAGATACTGTTGATTAGATCAGAGAACTAAATTCAACTGCCTAATCTAAAAAAAAAACAAAACAAAGACTTGGACCCATATATGCATTTAGGACACTTTCATCATTTTTTGTGATGTGAATGGGTGTTTTACATTGTAAATAGAAGATTCAAGAAATTTCTAACATACAATGTTTGTACTTGGGCACTAAACACACGTTTCATTTATTCCAAATTTTTAAGTTTTAAGTACGGAAAAAATTAATAGTTCAATATATCCGGTCTTTTATTGTATGACTAATTTTCCAAACGACAATCTTAACCTGGTAGTTTTCCATTTATCTACACATATATGTCAATGATGGTCATGCATGAAAAACATTTAGAAAATTTTGACATCATTCTTCTCCTAGGATTAAAATATTATTATCTAGAATATTACAGTTTTCTTGATCTAGAATATAACAGTTTTCTTGACCTGGGAATGGTTTTAAATAACGAGTGGTCCCTTGGTCACTTTTAAAAACAATTTCATATGAATTCGTTAGTTTAGAATAACACGTTTTTTTTTTCTAAAAAGGCATCTTGCTTAAAGTTAAGTCTGGGAGGTACTAACATTATTTTTAACAGAAAAGAAATTCCCGAAACAAGACAAAACTATTGATAGCGATGAACAAAGGTTTTTCCAAAGGAAATGAATTCCTGGATATATTTTTATTCATGAGTTTTTTACCCTTGCATATACGTCATCGCAAAATGTAATAAAAGATGATCAGAAAGAAAAAAATGTGCAGCATTCTTACATATTCAAAAGAAGAAATATGGACTGCAAAAAGTATTTGTATTTTCTTTGTCTCGTTGTCGTGGTTCATAATTCTATGGGCCGTGGTAAGTTATTTGTCTTCGCCTTGATTCTAATAGTTTGATCATAAATTTTTTACCATTAGACATTTATTCTGTTTCAGTGCTAAGCAATGGAAATTGCATTTCTTCTATGAATGGAACAGCTGATGATGCTCCTTTTAATAAAACAACTCAGATTTGTTGCACAAAGTCAGGAATTCACGAAAAACATTATCAAGGACACGAAGTGGAATGTTGTGGGGGTAGGTATAATCATCTGTTTAGTCCACATTTGAAAAAATAAATGACTAAATGGCCCATATTTTTTTCATTTAAATGTGCAGAAAAAGGAATTGTGTATTCAATTTGAACTTAAAATTGATCGAGTATATGTAGCAATGTAGTATGTATGCCATATGGCTACTTTCTTGCAAAATGCTGCAGAGATTTATCATTTTCTTTGATTCTTTTAATATTACTGTCTAAGAACACTTTAAATAGCTGAAAGGAGTTTTCAATGTTTATCCTTGCTTTGCCCATTATACTATTGTATCATCGGATCTGCCTTGCAATTTACATGTAATCGAGGTGTTCTTCCAGAAAAAGCTAGTTATATATTTTGTTTGTAATGTTAATGCTTTGGAATTTTTATAATTTTGCTGGCTGAAGGCCATAAGTTTTAAGTTAAGAAAGTGAAATTTATATCATTAAAGACTTCAGAGAAAGAGTGAATAAGATGATACTTTAGGTGTGATCTAGAAGTTTAATATTAACTTGTTATCATGACTGCGTTTTACATAGATACAACATATATACCAGAGATAGAGCTCTGCTGCGATGAAAAAGTTTATAACAGACCTGGCACTGAACGGATAGGCAATGGAAATTATTCTCGTGATACGAACAGTAAGTAATTAAACTTGATATGCCCGATTTTTGTGAATATATTATAACTATCCTTGAAAAAAAGTAATGTTTAAAAAATTCTCATAAATCTCATAATTCACAGATTTCTTTTAAAGTGATACCTAAATTAAAGAATTTTTGCTTTTGTTTGTCAATGTTTTACACATTAAGCATTTTTAAATACTGCGCGCTGCTTCTTATTTGAAAATAAGCAAGAAAATTTCAATTTGCATCATCTTGTACATGGATTTTGTTAAACACTCAATTTATAGCAAATCTTCAATCTTTGCAGTCTTAATTAATGGTATATTATATGATCAAAATTAATTAGAATTAGACAAATGAGAAGTAGCTTGCCCATTTATTTTTGTGGTGGTCAAATGTGTTTTATCCTTTTTGGTATTTTACACAACCTTTTGTCGTAAACTTGGGATATAAAGCCCCCATTGTCTCTAACTTTGATCCGCTCTTAACTCTTCAATTTGGTATTTCTCCCAGCCAAATCCTTTAAATTTGCTATAATTATTGTTTTTATGAATTACATTTTCCGTCATTTAAATAAATGTCAAGTTTTTTTTTTTACACTTAACATATCTTCTGTTATGAGTTTTGGAAATAGAGTTGCTATGTTGCTGTGGACTGCCAGTAGGGTTTTAACATGAATACATTTCCTTGACGTATAGAGATCAACACAATAGTACTGTATCACTAACGATAGTAAAGTTAACGTTAGATCTTGATTCAGGCGTACTTTAACAAAAATTAAGTGGTATAAATAGTTAACTATTGTAATAATTTATTAACTAGCTATTCACATGTAGTTTTACACTGATTTTCCCCCAAAGTTTTAAAATCTTCTGATTCGTTAACACTGACGGTAAGATAAGTTTTTTAAAAATGCGAGTTTACAAGTGATGGTTCCATTTATATAGAAAATATTTCATGCATGAAATGGAGAACTTAAAAGTTGACAATCTGAAATTTGAAGTAGAATACTTTGATTGACTATATAGTTAAAACTATTCTTATGTAAAACTTTGTTGATTGTAGTTTTTATGGTTAGGGTATACATGAACATGAAACATATGGAGATAATGAACAGTATTCAATGTCAAAAGTAAATAAAACAATACAAAATTGGAGAAGAGCATACACGGACCTCCAAAACATCAGAGATTGGATCAGGTGCCATGGAGAATTGATCATCCCCTGCCTACCGTTCACACCCGCCGTGTGCTCCTCATCATGGTGGGAAATAACGGGAAAACCCGAAGTCCATTCAGTGTGTTAATAATGGATTAACCATTAGTATACAAAATGTGAGTCAGCATTTGACTCAATGATAAATTGTATTTGATGACGAGCAATTTGTTGACATATCACAGAATGATGGACGTGAATGGGAAAAATAAAAAATATGAAAACTACATTCAACTACATTCAATTGTTTTTCATTTGCAATTGTATGTTAATTAAGCATAGTAGGAATAAAGTATTTCTGTATTAACCCCCGTATGTCAGCTCTTTTTGTACCCGGCCTCCAAACCACTTTCTTACATGTAAATGACTGAGCATTTAAACACAACATTTAAAACATTTCTCATGTAAAGAAAGGGGAGTTAATAATAAAAAACAAAGCGACACACATGTTTATGTAATTATGTATAATAGTTACGACTAATGTTGTGGTTTTGTACGTTTATCTTCTTAGGTGATGATAAAAAAGCTTCAAAGTCATCGTTAAACAAGCAAGGCAATCCAACCTATCGTGATGCTGCATATAGAAATAAAATTAAACAGTAAGTTTTTTCTTTGTGTTAACGCTTATGCAAAAAAACATTTTCGTTGAGAAATGCAATTTTAAAATAAAATAAATAAAATCACCAAAGGCTTTTTATCGACAACATATGCCAATGTTTATAACAAATTAAAATGCTTGAAATTGAAAACAATTAGTTAAATATTGTTTTTTCTTCCTCTCAAAGGATTTACAATTGTGTGTCCTTTTCGCATTTTTTTTTCTTGAAGTATTTTTCAGACACAGGGATCTCATTAATTATTTTTAGTGATATTTTATTCTTATTTTAGAACGATATTGAACATTAAATTCAAGAGGCTGATGCAACAAAAGGGAAGAAACCTCCTTCGAGATCTTTTGATCTACATTGATTTTGCGAAAGCCAAGAAGTCCTCAAAGAAAACCCTGAAGTTACCTTGACTTGGAAAGGAAAGGAAAAAACTATTTTTTTCAATAAAAAAATAAATTAATTAAAGCTTAAAGGAACACAGACATTTTGTATTAATTTTGTAATTTATAGTTAGGTGTTTTCATGATGTAGACATAATACTTCAGAATGTTGTTACTTAGAAATAGACACAATAGGGCAACCATTTATTGAAATGGCTATAGACAAATAAAATGGCACGCACTATGCAAATTGTAGGCATATTGTAGGCAGCAGTGTATTTTTTGTCCAATAGTTGCTTATTTAAATTTCTGTATAAAAATTATTCATTTAATAATTTCCCTTTTTATTGTTATGTCAAGCCTTTATTAAAAAAATTGTTTATGTTTATTGCATACTTCATTTTAACTGTTGATTTGTGAAATATTGCACTAAATTACTTATGATAGATAAATATATATTTATGCTTTTTTTTTTTTTTTTTTTATACCTTTTTACTTGTTCATGTCACTGGTACATGTTATTTAGCAAATTAAAAATGCGAATCATAATTTAATTACAGGTTTTAAAGTTAAATGTGTTTTTTTATTTAAAAAAGGGATAATAAACGTCCATAATAAATTCAGATACGGTCTCTCTTCTTTGTACAGGACATACCTGGTAAATCCGATAGCATGATTTAGCTTACTACATGTAAAAAAAGAATGCGATATGCCACTCCTAATATAAGAATTACTTGACCTTTTTGTTAGTCGTTTAATTATTTTCTTTATCTAATATATTCAGCATTCAAACACTCTTTAATTTGTTGCTGTCCAGCGGCAGGTTTTGGCGTCTCCATATGAGTGAAAATTTCTCGAGAGGAACGTTAATCAATATACAATCAATCAATCAAACACGCTATAAAATAATGTGAACTTATTACCAATAAGTCCACATTTTCATTACGGTGTCCCCCCCCCCCCCCCCCCCGATTGGTTTTTTTGGTTAAAAACTGTTATTCGTTGTCAAATAGATTTAAGTGTGATTTTTGGAAAGGATACTTTAACAACATTTTATTTTAATTTATAATACAAATGGGTATAGCTCCCCTACACCACACGACCCCCCTTGAAAAAAAATCATGGGTCTATTGTTGACTCGAATATACAGTAATTTTTTTTAATTAAAGTGCCTCAACCATACTGCACAAAATGAAAAAAAAATAAAGAAAAATATACGAAAAGCCGTCAGTTGGCTTTTGAATAAAAGATTCTTCTAAGATCCCCCCCCCATTTTCGTTTACTACGGGCCATCCCATGTACACTGTGCTTTAATTCTAATCTTTGTACAATCATTCAAGATGTGATTATTATCGTAGATCTACAGATTTTACTCGTTATTGACATTAATGAAATCTCAATTGAATACTTTCAACCAATTGTTTTAAACATACGTGTTTCAATGCGTGTTTGTTCTTTCTTGTCAATGTGTATAATTTTTTAGCTTGTTATTTTTTCTTCATGACACCCATCCCCGCCTATCTAGAAAAAAAGATAACCCGTACCTTAATAGCTAGTAATTACTATAGTGACATCTTAGAAAATGTATTAAAATTATGCATTTTGATTCTGGAGACATATTTAAAGTATGTCGCATAAACGACAGTGAATATATCATGATTTATACTCTGGACGTAAATAAAAGATATATCAGCAAATACATACATTTACTACTTTGAAAATTACCAGTATTTTTTTTTAGTCAGAATTCGAAGCCAGGCAAGTATGACAAGTATGAAGTATCCTTTCTTTGAAAAGAATGATAATTATATTTTTCACGCTTTTAGTACATAAGATTGATTGCGACATTAACTGCATGTTTATACAAAATATTACGCGTGTTTGGACGTAGGGATTTATCAAAGATGTATTTTGCATTGTGCGCATCCTCACATGAGTTTAATTTTGGATCGAGTTTACAGAAAACCTCAATGTTTAAATTTTGAATAATGATTTATTTTCAAGAGTTCTACTCATTTCTTTTTATTTTTTAAAGGCATTTTCATTAACAACAGCAAGCTATGTCCATAAAAACAGTCGATTTTTTTAATCAAAAAGGTAAAACCTCATATAACATCTTTTATGTCGGCACAAATGTCGGATGTGATCTATAACATCAGGTATATATGTACATGATCAGTATTAAAGTTTGTTTTTTTCGAATTCGATTTCAGAAATTCTTTTTCACCATTATCACCTGAAGCACGTGGGATAAAAATGTGTTGTCCTCTTACTCTATTAAATATGAGATTTCTTTTGCATCGATGCATCAAATGTGTGTAAACACAAGGAAATGTATTATGGTTATGGTTTGTGGTCATAGGTCTTTCACAGGCAATGTATTTTTCTCGTTTCAATATGAGCGCACACGTTACGGGTAAATATTTTCATTGGAAAATATATCTCAAACAGTGATTGCTGTTTTTCTGTTTTAATATTTTGCCGTAACGAATGTGCCCTATGTGTAAATCACGATTAACTCTCATTTTTTCGGCATTTTTCCGGAAAATTTCGAACCATGATGAGGTTTAGATTTTAAGCTGACATAAAAAAACATCCGGTTTCGTCGAAAATGCTGCACATGTAAAATGCATCAACGGTCTAGGTTGAGAATCGCCAAAAATATTTCTTCTAAAGTCATCTTTAAATTTTTAATATTTGCTAGGCCATATAATGCACTTTGTTTGAAGGAACCCAGCCTCATACATAATTTAATTGATAGCTGACTTTTAAAGTCCATAGTAAGTAAAACAAATACTTATAGATATGACGGAGATGTATAAGACTATATTATGACTTTTACTTCATTTTGGGATATATCGAATAGAAACTGATAACAACTATTGTTAGTTGATAAATCCAAATTGTCGAATTGAATGCTACAAGAGTTTTCTTTTTTTGGTATTGCCGAATAAATTCTGCTTCCCAAGAATATAAAAGGGTGGGTAACATTTGGAAAAAAACAATGAATTTTTATCTTTTCCCAATCGGTTGGTTTTTTTTTGTATGTTATATTAAACTGATTTTAGTAATTATTTCTCGCTGAACTTTATGAACAATGACTATGAAAAATGACATTGTATTGTAAAATTTCATATTTTTTTTCATTTAAAATCAGATTATTTTTTTAATCGAACCTTAAGATATGAGTGAGAAACACAAAACATTAAATTACTTATCTATATAATAATCGTGTTACCGTGTGTCATTCTTGATTTACAGTGCTATAACTAGATCTGAAGTGCATGCGAAGCTTTTATTGTGTGTATGATATCAAATTCAACTATTTTATGAAGATTTATCGTAATGCATGTATATACTCAAATTCAAACTTTAAGTTCTTTAACAACCTGAATTTCCCCTGTTCTTGTTAAGTAGATGCAAGATTGTCTCAATTATCTTCTTTTTATCTAACAGTAAAAGTAGTAGTTAAGTAAAAATTTATTAATGCTACAAACTCAGGTAGAAGTTAATTGCTTTTTCTCTAACGAACTATAACCACAGAGCCTACATGGAAGCGTCAGTGCAAAGATGATACAATGCTATATCTAAGGAATAACCATAGAAATCATTTTCATGAAGAATTTATTCGAAAAACACTAATAATGAATCACTGTGTATTGTGGGTAATTCTAAATTCTCTGAAGTGATCATTCTACACCAAAAAAAATTATATTTTACGTCCAACGCATGGGTAATGAAAATGACATATCTATCGGATCTCTGCCAATTGATGTAATCTTGGTATCGGAATAATCACCGTGAGAAATTTTCAGACATTTTTTCAATATTTTACGACTGTTCGTGCATGGATATAATTTATTAGATTTAGGAGATGCAGAGTTTTAAAATTATATGTATTTGACATTTTTCAATAAAATCTAAGAGTATTCCGTTTCACCTTACACGTAAAAGGCTATGTAAATTGTAACACAGTGTTTAAAAAAATAAAATTAGGAACCAACAATTACTTTTAAAAAATGTTGTAATTTTTATTTTTTGATTTCTGTAGGAGGTATATTCTTCGCTAATGTTACAACTAAATGTATCCGAAACCTTATAAGTATAAGCCAATTTTCTATATTTACATTTGCAAATGTTTGCCCTTATATAACACTATGTGAATAAGATGTTTTTATTTCTGTGTAAAACACGTTCGTCATGAGACCATAAATTGATTGCTTAGTCATATGGGATCTACGTAATTTTATAGTGACGTCATAAGTGATCGACGTTTTCAACATGTAAAATTTTTTCCGTTGAGTTTTGAAAAAAAAAATCCTTTATGGATTTAAAAACTTTAGTACCTTTCCATCTGTAATAAATCAGCCACAAATGTAAATATAAGTAATAAGGTATCTTTTTTTAGTTTTATCGGGATGTAAAACGGTTTGGCACATGATCAAATCTTACATAAAGAGATTTGATCACGTGGCCAACCTGTTTTATATCCCAAGACCCCCCCCCCCCCCCCCACACACACACCTCCAATACCTTATTTCTTAAATAGACTGCATGTGTTTATAAGTGATAATAGTGTACCTCGTAGTTTTGTATCATTTTTAGTAGTCCAACCCCTCATAAAAAAAAGCAAAGAAAAATAAATTATGAAATATTTTGAACACATGAATAAAAATTTTCACTGTACTTACATATTTTATGGACATGTTATTATTAATTCATATTTTGATGATAGTCTTGGTGATTCTCTAAGCATATACATGTAAATGGTTGTTTCGATATTCTTATTTATACAGAATAAAGATTCCGAATAGGTATCTGCTTTCTCTGAATCTCATTTGCCATTTGGAAGCATGTTATTTCTCTTTTACCCTGTTTTCCTCATTAGACATAAGTATATTAACGTGATTAAAGGATGACCAATGCTCATATCAAAAAAGCAGTTTTTCTGAGAAAATAAGTGATGTTTGATTGCTTCAGCATGGTATTACATTGCTGACAAATCATTAACATTTGATTAAAAAATAATGATTTAAAGATTATCGTGCAGATGGAAAAA